TTTTCAATAAACCAATAATAATGGGTTTGTGTCTGCTAACAACTGACTGAGTGGGCAAATAAATTAATGAATCGAGCTGCCGAAGCTCTAATGATCAAGTCCCTATGAAAAAAGGCTGTTTCTATTTTATGCTTCAATTACACAGATACGCCAAAATATCTTGTGATGATGAACGTTTTGTTCAGTTACTTACTGTACTGGGAGGACACTTCAGACCAATCTGTTCAAGTCATAAAGTCGAGTCAGGCACGATTAGTTGGTTTTCTAGTTGACCCTAGTTCGTTAATAAGTCAGTTGTCTGTACCTGACTATAAATCGAATTAACCCAATTAACCCATAGGCATTAATGTGAAGGGCGGGCCTAGTGCAAGCGGTAGAGTCTTACCGCCTGTGACCGGAAGGTCCCGGGTTCAAGTCGCGGTCTCCTCGCATTGCACAGGCGAGGGTAAGGCTTGCCACTAACACCCTTCCCCAGACCCCGCACAGAGCGGGAGCTCTCTGCACTGGGTACGCCCTTAACCCATAGGCATTAATGTCTTGCATAGCATGGAATATAGACTAGAGAGAATCTCGAGAGCACAAAAAGATTGGGGCTAGCCGGCTGGGTAAAAAACTGAGCTTCCATGTGTGTATATTGACATAGAAAGATCTGACAAATGGTCCCTTAAATTTTGATATTTGCACAGCAGTGTATGTTATAGACGAAGGGTGGGCCTGGTGCAAGCAGTAGAGTCTTACCGCCTGTGACCGGAAGGTCCCGGGTTCGAGTCGCGGTCTCCTCGTATTACACAGGCGAGGGTAAGGCTCGCCACTGACACCCTTCCCAAGACCCCGCACAGAGCGGGAGCTCTCTGCACTGGGTACGCCCTTTAGTGTATGTTATAGACCTTAATAGAGCTCTTTTGTTTTATATATATGTTGTCCACTGCTGTCTTCAGCAAGAGGAGTCTCCACTGGCTAAGGTGACACGAGATAGCTCCAAAATCACAGCTGAGCAGGTTCATGGTCTCATGTCACAGGTGATCATTCCTTTTTTTTTTTTTTTTGTCTGACTCAAGATTAGGTTAACTCCATTTGGATCTTCGAATGTTGCCTTGATACTTGTGAGTTATGATGCCTTCAGGTCATAAAAGACATCCTCTTCAACTCTGTTCACCCGTCAAGCAAGGCAAGCACAAGTGCTCCAGATTCATCCGGTCCTGAGCCTATGGTTGAAGCCTAAGAGTTCCAGCGAAAGGCAACATTGAATATTTGTGTTATGCCATCACTAAGATAGTTGCAAGCATAGCTATCTGATTCAGAACGCGCAAAACAAGTTATATTTTGTGAAAACAGAATCATTATGTAATTATGAGTTGCCTTCATCTTGGGCTGCCACTGAGAGGGGATGTGATTTAGGGCCTGTTTGGTTGCTGACCTGGAAAAATTGCTTGGGCCAGGCAGCAATCTCAGGCATTGGATTTTGGAGGCCTGATGGCTGGATGTGGTTGCCTGGACAGGCAGGAGTTAGTTCACTTGCTATATTTCACTAGGTTTCATGGCATGTAGATCACTATGTTGGTCTGCACGTTTATCTGGTTCATGGTGAAATATTTTGCTCCCATTATACTGTGATATATTAGAAATTATTAGTTGAAGACCTTGTGTTCGATCGCTATTCAAAGCTTTCATAACGATTTATCATCTTATTTTAGATGTCATTATAGTTTGACTTAACGTTTAGTTATTGGAAGGGTCGCTTATGTTAATATGACTGATCAGGAATTTGAAGTTTTCATAACTAGGAATTTCGATTTGCCATTTAGTTTTTTTGTTTGATTTATCATATTGTCTCTTGTGTTGTATGTTATTATCGGGAGTTCTGAGAGCTTAATGGATGGCGGTCACACGGAAGAACTATGTACTGGAACACCATATTACTATCGGGGGTTTCTGTGTAGATTTTTTTTTCCTGTTTAGCTGCCCTGCTCAAGGAACGCTGCCAAAGACTCCCACGTACAACGCTAGACGCTTATAGGTCGTTTTCTTGCCTCCTTGGCCAAGTTCGGGCGCTTGCGGACGGCTTCGGCGCTCCGCGAAGCAGCGGCGCTTTGGCCGGCTCCCGCATATTCACGTGACATGCTTTCAGTTAATTTTGATACACACTAAGCGCCTGCAACATGGTTTTTGCATTGTAGATTAAGCAGTTAAAGAAACACAGCTCGTTTTTTTCCCCTTTAGGCGTTCCTATAAGAGTCCCTGCGCTGTACGTTATACCCCGTGGAGGACGCTTTTGTGTCGCCTTGGCTTCCGGCGGGTACTTCTCGTGTGGCTTCTACAAGGTGGCCACGAACCCCTACACGTGGCCCCGTCAAACGGCGCAAGGGCATACGCCAATCCATTTGCTTTTTAACCAGCATTTATACTTGCATTATATCACATCTGTGATTTGTGATGAACAGAGCACCGAATAGAAATATTTATCACCGGCATGTACATGCAGATCCTCATATAAGGCAGCAAGCAAATCAGTTTCTTGCATCCCTTAATGAAACAAAACATAAATATATATATCTATATTGTGAGCTGAACTCATCTTCTATCCTTGCCTTTTCCATCTACATTCCTTTTTATCTTAAAAAAAAAAAAAACTCCATTCCTGCCATCATAATCTCATCTTTCTCAGCCTTCTCTGCAACGCTACAACCGAGATGGTAAGCTGATCACTGCAAGAAGAAAGACAAATTAGTCGAAGTTCAAACAAATGTGAACGAATGTCACCGAAGCCTGGCTGCACACTGAAAACATAACTCAAGCTGACACTGTGCAAAACATTATTAAATAAGCTACTGCTAAAAATCTGAAATGTGTGGTTACTCGAGCAGTTGAGCTATCCTCAAACCTTTCAATGATGAACTTAACAGCTCTGAGATACTAAATTTGTACTGCTTTTCATCACAAATTCCAGGCTCATGTAAGAACTGATTGCATTTCAGCACAGGTTAACTATTTACAATACTACAAGATCATTAATCAGTAACTAGGCCATACAGTAGCACAAGACTCTGTTCAAATTTTGAACAATTCTCGAAAAACACCAACTACAACACGGATCTCATGGCCTCTGCTCTTCTTTCATGGACACGCATTTGCCATTTCAAGCTTTCAACGCACAGGGCATGGACGCAACACAGAGATCCAAACAAGTGGTAAGAAAAACCCCGAGAACTACTGCAACAGACAGAACAGTTTGATGCTCTAGTTGCTCTAAGAGATATATTAACTAACAAGTCACCGTGTCTATATTTTTTTTTCAAAATTTAAACTATTAATGCAGCAATTAAAGTTTTGTGTCCTTGATTGTGAGTGCATACCTTGTTCAGGTGGTGCCACTGCTTTGATCAGAATGTTTGCATTCTTACAATCTTGACTGAACATCTGCAGCAATGAAATATCATCAGAAAGGAGTGCAAAATAAATTATTTCTGAAGGAATGCAGATCTATATAAGGTTCCAGATATTTCAGATAGTAAAAGTCCGATTTTCATAGTCCAGGAACTGCTTATAGCATATTGTCCATGCTTGTCATCTCCAAGAAAACCATACAACAAATGGGATGGAGGGAGCGTGTACCTATGCTTGGCGGCAATGACACACTCGAAGAGATCCCTGATTAGGGTTTGGTGCTGGAGGAGGCGCGTCAGCAGGAGACACACTTTTTTGACCGCAGCAGGAGACACACTTGATCTGAGGATGTAAAGAAAGAAGCAGAGACGACAACTAGCTGCCTATGTTGATGGTGTCAAATCGTCTGCATCGGCGCTCCATAGCACCAATGATATCAGAGCCAGTGCACTACAGTGGATAGCTGCAACAGGAAAGTTCCATACAGTGAAGATGATCAACTGGCTTTTGGATTGGTAATTTTGTTGAGCTTTCCCATTCCTCCCTGGTCCTATCTACAGATGGTAGTTGTATTTAGTTTACATTAGTGATTAAAAATACCGGCACCTACAGATATTTAGTTTCTGGGTAACATAAAAAAAAAAGTAGCTCAAAAGAAAAGTACCTGCTACAGTTCAGTACTTCAATTTCTACGCTTTCTGTATGATAAACCAGTTTCTGATGAAAATATAAAACCTGAAACTAATAACCATGAATCAAAGTAGTAAGAGCACCAAAACAGCATTGGAGGTGTACAGTATAATAAAGACATAGATGCAGTAGAGAGGGAACTCCTAAGGCAATTATCTGAAAAAAATGAAGAGCAGCACATTGCTTGATTAGTCAACAGTATCCTGATTCACAGGCATAATCAGTGGAGAAAATTCCTAATTTCTAGTTTGGTGAAAGAAAAAATTATTCATTGCTCAGTTTAACTCCAATCAGGTTGCATCCATGCCGTAATCAAGCCAATTAATGAGAAGTTCTCATATATTGTAAAAGCAGAAACTGGATTAAATAAGATGGCTCGCATTATACATTAGCCTACAGTAGCCTAGAGTAGCAAGAAGCCATCACATGGAATTAATGGAGTAAATGTCTTTATCAAGTGAACTGTCTTCCCTTCTAATGGAAACAAATGTACTTCGATAAAAAGTAATGCAGTGCATGTAGACCATACTGAAAAGAAGGAAGCAACTGAACAACAAACAGGGAGCAAGTAAGAAGATCATCTTCCTAGAGCCGGTGTGGGAGCCGAGCACGCCGCTGGTCATGTCAACGCACTGGATCTCTGTAGGCTTGGAGAGGCCCACCTCTCCCAGTACAGCCATCACTCCTCCCTAAGGCTGAGCTCCTCGAAGCTCTCCACAGCCTCAACCCTCTTCCCCTGCTGCGGATGCTGTGAGCACCACTCTACGCCCCTTGACTTTTTTCCCTTGAGGGAGGCTTCGGGGCAACGAGCCAGGAGGCATCCTTGAGGTGGCGACAAGGCATGCATGCTTGGCGCTACAAGTCATCAAATGGGTGTCCTTACCCAATTTGAAAATGAGAGGGATCAAATCGGTCACTAGCCCTACCTACTTAATGTTTGCCCACGACCTGAAAGCTTGGACATCTTCAATCCTTTTACTTTGAGCTTCTGTTTTGTCATGCAATGAATTCAGATTCCTATACAGGTTCTTGTGTAACTTCAGGAAGGCATGCCTGTATTTCCACTTGTCACAGTAAATGTTATGTTTTGACATGTAACTAATGATCTCCATCACCCTCGAAAAATATCCACCTTTAAGAAAATTCAAAACCAAGCAATCAAGCAAGTCCCTATCCAAATCTAGCTCTCCATATTCAAGTCTGCGCTTTATTTCTCCCCACAGCATGGTGATCTCTCTATGCATGTCCATTGAAGAATAACCGCACAATATATGGCAAAAAGTATGCAATGTGGGTCTGATATTTTGCTCTCTCATACGCTTATATGTGCAAAGAGCATCTTCCATCATTTTTGCCTTGCAGAAGAAAAGAACTGAATTATTGAACTCTAATGTCAAGTGCTCTCCAGCGTTGTAATGCTTAATTTCATCAGCCAAAGCAGCAAGCAAAGATGAACTACCGAGGGGCATTTCATATTTCACTACTTTGGCAATATTCTTGATTGCAAATGGAGAATTAGTATGAATACCATCCATGGTAGATGCTATCTTTTGTATCTGTTGAAGAAGGCCATTGGATTCTTCTGACTTATTCTCCTTCTCATATGCTCTCAGAAGAGAAATGTAACCAGTAATCCCAATTGGAATCCCAGCTGACTCCAAATCATCTATGATATCATGAGCAGCATGCAACCATCCCATTTGAATGCATGCATTGACCACATCTTGTGGAGAAATTAACTCTAGACCATCTTTACGTGATGTAATTAAAAAGCTAGACAGTATATGCATATTCCTTGATTTCACACAGCCTATAATAAGTTTAGCAAGAGCCTTTTCAGTATGAAGAAGGTTTCCATCAGTAAGAATAACAAGGCCGAATTGGCTTTCTGTACCCAAAACAAAACCCCTGTCAACTTTTCCAGGATCAAACATTATTCTATATCCGCTTTTCAGATTTCCAGAGCCAATTTGTATGATACTTTGTTTCTGCAAATCATTGCAAAAGAAAACACCAGGTTTCCGTTGCTGATGCAGATCGATTAAAAACTTTGCCGCAGCATCCATGTCATTATATTTGAAATGCAGACTCAATAGACTGTCATAAAAATGCTGGTAGTACTGAAGAAATGTCAAAGATGTTAAAGAGTCGATGCTTCTTTTCATGTGTATCAACTCATCTCGTTGCCCAACCATCTCAAAAACACGGCTAGCCATCACCACTGTATTTACATCGGCCACAACTCCGATCAATGACATCAGCTCCATTATTTTCTGGGCCTTGATAATGCATTTAAAGTTCACGCATGACTCCAAAACCATATTGAACAAGGTGGCACTGTTTTTTATTGGATCCAGTTTTTTCATCTCCCGCCTATCTGTAACTTGGTCCAAGAAACTCTCGCAAGTCTCAATCAGAACATCCGTGGCAAGGTAGGATCCTACCTGTGACTTCAACATATGCAGAAACGACATGCTCAGCATATCAACATCAGGAAGCTTTCTACTCTCCAGTATGATCCTCAAGACCGTGGAGGCCGGGACAGGCTTCTGATCTCTCGCAAGCGCCAACGCTAGCCTCATCAGGGAGCCACAATTAAGAAGATTTCTGTTAATTTGATAAACTGAGAGAACCATGTCAAATGCCCTCTGAAGCCACCTCCGACTAGACATGTAGGACAGCGACACGATCATACTATTCAGTACCCGTGGCTCAGGAAGACCATGAAGCTTCTTGTAATTGCTGAAAGATTGCAGCACCTCTTCAACATTTCCATCCTTCATAGCACAGTCTATCTTCCTCAACAGAGTTTCACGGGATGGCGCCTCCCATGCCAGAACCTTACTGGTGCTAGTGCTTGTGGAAATATAACTCCTCCATGGCCCATAGACATTGCTGGCCTGTAACAAGAACAAAAGAATTCATATTATTGGCCACTAAAGCAAAGCCAACCATGCACAAGTATGTATACCTCAAACTGTTTCCAAGCAGTGTGTTCTTACAGGCGAGGTAGCTCTGGTAGCGTGAGGGAGCGACGTGAGGCGCAGGTAGGGCCAGCACGCCAGAAACAACCTCCTCATTCAAGGCAGTGTGCTCCAGTGGGTGAAATGACGGAAGGGCGGCAGTGGCGGATCCAGGAAAATATAGTGGTGAAACACAGCGCTCTAGAACAAGTGAACAACATAAGTCCATCACATTCCATACAAGTCAAAATGTACTAGTTTAAACGGTATAATTCAATACATAATTCAGCAAACGGGTCGGTATGCAGCTACAAACTTCATTTGGTTTGGTATATAAGTAGAAAATGGCCAAAACACAAAGGTCTCATAATAATACCTCAAGTTTAACGCTCTGATTTGATGTCAGGATAACATAAGCGAATCCCTCGCCACTGTCTAATGAAACAATGAATATATCCCTTCCCACACGCATATCAATGTAACACGCCAATTCCAAGCTAAGATAAAACTTCTAAACAAAATACAGAGATTCTACACTAAACTTGTCAGAGACAGATTTTTTTTTAACGAGAGAGACAAAGAGATTGTTAAGCAAACGTACACTTGAAATCACCGCATCAGAGCAGCGCAGATGTAGAGGACCGAGGACGGCGCTGGACGATTAGCGCTACAGCCTACAGGCACAGCCGTGGACGACACAGACGGCGACAGAGGCACGGAGGTAGAGAACAGGGACGCGACGGCGCTGGATGGCGGCTCCGACGCGCGGGACTGGTCGAGCGCTGGCGGGTGTCGGCGGCTCGGCGCGCGCTGCTCGGTGGTTGGGTCGGTCGTCGGCCGCCGCCGCCGCTCGGTCGAGTCGAGACGCCGCGTCAGACGAGCTGGGAAATAGCACCGCCGCAGGGACAGGAGATGGGCTGCCGCCTACTGTGCGCTATGGTTAGGCAGCGCGTTGGGCTTTCTCCAGTTTCGGCCTTCAGTTCAATGTCTAAGTAGTAAAAGGGTTTTGGGCCAAATTGGGGTGGTTTTGGGCCTATACAGTATTCTTTGGACCCGCCCCTGAATAGGGCACCTGCTCTCGAGTCTCGCTCGACTCGGCTGCTGCCGACGCCGCCACTACGACTCCGCTCGCAGTGACTGGATCCTACCGCTGCAGCCCGCTGCCTGCCCGTTGGCCACCGCCCTGCTGGATCCCTGTCTCCCTCCGCCGGTCTGATGCCCTCGCCCCTCGGCAGGCGGCAGCTCATCTCGAGTGCTCCCTTCTCGCCCACGGCCGTGCTCGCTTAGCCCGGCCGGCGTATGGGATGAAGCACCTATGAACCATAGACATTGTTTCGAGGCACTTGACCGTACGCTTCGAGATATAATGCCATCTACAGATCATGCTTCAGCAAATAAGCAATTTGGAGGCATTACAGTTGTCCTCGGTGGAGATTTTAGGCAGACTCTTCCTGTAATTCCCAATGGAAAAAAACATCACATTCTAAATTCATCGATTACTCGGTCCTATTTGTGGCACTCCTGCACTGTCCTTCAGTAAACAGAAAACATGAGGCTCCGGAGTTTGTCGCTTTCGCTTGATCAGAAAATTGAACTTCAGCAATTTGCTGAATGGCTTCTCTTTGTTGGTGCTGGTAACACACCCAATAGCACTCCTGCAGAACAGCATGATGCTACCTGGGTCCAAATTCCAGATTACCGTTTATTACCATCTGAACAAAGGAACCTTACTGGTTTGATCTCTTTTGTATATGGATCAACACCGCACATCTCTGAATTACCAGCTTATCTATGCGAGAGGGCAATTTTGGCTCAGACCAACGAACTAGCTGCTGCCATAAATTCTCAGATTATGAGCCAGATTGCCACTGAGGAGATGTCATACTACAGCTGTGACACCATTGATGACTCATCGGCTAACTACTGCACTGTGCAGTCTCTATACCCTACAGAATTTCTCAACACAATATGCATGAGTGGCTTAGACCGTCTCCAACGGTGGGAAGGCAAACACGAGACCTATCCGAGGATTTGAGTCCCATACAGGCAAAGAGTCACGGACCCAAAAATTTCCTCCTCCAACCACAGCGAACCCAAAATCCTCCGTCCGGGCGGCTCCTCCAAGACGGCGGCGCAACGGACGGCCACCGGCGCCATCCTCCTCGGCAACGGAGTCCGCCTCCGTCCGGATCTCCTCGGGCCGGCGCGCCGGGATTATGTCCCAAAGACGCTGGCCTTGCGCGGCGTGGTCTGGCCAGTAAATCAGACTGGCGGGCGTCGACGCCGCCATCACGGGCGTCCGTCCGCGCCCGGCGAACCTCGGCCCCCAGTGAAGCCGAGGGAATCGGAGAAAAAAACGGCGCCTCTGCTCCTCGCTCTTATCTGCGGCGGCAGCGGAAGGTAAGAATTGAGTGGAATGGATGGTGGCGGAAATCAATTGCCCAGTGATACTAAAGAAAAGAGCTTCCTTTCTTGCTTACCAGTCGCCCCCAATCTTGGAGTTCCTCCTTGCTTCCTTGCCTTGCCTCTTTGGGTTCTCTGCTCCCTCTCCCCTCTCTCCTCTCTCCTCCCTCTCTACTCCAAGCCTGGCGGGAAGAAGGGGGAAGAAGGGGGAGCAAGCAGAGCACTACGACGCAGCGACCCCGGCGCAACGGCGGCTTCAGCGGCAGAGGGCGCGGCGCTCCGACGGCTTCAAGCTCCGGCAGCGGTCCGGCTTCTCCATCGCGTGCGGCCGCGGCCACCATCGTAGATTTGCATAGCGAGGAGAGAGCGACGCTTTTTGCGTTTCGCTTGGGTTGGCAGGCAAAGTGCGTCGCGTGGATGGGTCATCCGTTGGAGCCGTTTTTTGATTGGCAAAAGCACTGTACAAGACTTATTTTTAGGTTTGGATAGTCCGTTGGAGTCAGTCTTACCAGACCATCATTTGCAGCTTAAGGTTGGTGTTCCTATAATGCTTCTTAGAAATCTAGATCCAACAAAGGGCCTATGTAATGGAACAAGGCTCATAGTGACACAACTTACTCACCGTATAATAGAAGCACAGATTATCACAGGAAAAGCAAAAGGAACGCTAGCTTACATTCCAAGAATAGTGGCTGTTTCAACTGACCCAAAGTGGCCATTCAAAATTAAACGGCGCCAATTTCCCGTCCGTGTTTCATATGCCATGACAATAAATAAAAGCCAGGGGCAAACATTAAGCAAAGTTGGTGTCTACCTACCAAGCCCTGTATTTTCACACGGTCAATTATATGTTGCTTTCTCGCATGTTACATCTCCAAGAGGCCTGCGGATCCTCATTGAAAATAATCCCCCTGGATATGAACACAGCACCCATATTGTCGTGTACACCGAAATTTTTGAGGAGGTAAGCAATTGATGTACTCTAGAGATCTATGTTTGAATAGGAGTGTTTGGAAAGCAACTATTGAAGTGCCTGAACTATGACTAGGGGCTCTTGGTGGGTTTCAACTCTAACCTACCATAATTTACTTGGGACTGAAAGGCTATGTTGCTGTTATTGTTGTTGTTGTTGTAAGCAATTGATGTACTCAGACTGCCAAGGCCTTCTCACAGCCCTCAATTTTCTCTGCCATCGATAACATCTTTTTTTTTTTGTCTAATGCACTTCTCGCTATTTCAGGTTCACTCCATGGTTCCTGCTACGTCCATATGAAAATTGCATGTCTTATGCCATCTTTACACTACAGCTTCTACTATGGTTCATGCTACTGAACGACGCCCTACTTACAAGGTAACAATTTTTCCTCCAATAGTCGTACTCAGCCTGGTCAAATGTTCGCACCGTACCCAGTTTGCTGTACCACCACCTACCTCTAATTATATACTCCATATGGTAACTCTTTCTACTTCAGGTTCCATGGATGCTGTACAAATAGCCTCTGTTCCATGCTTTCCAGCACATACCCCACATTTCATAAAGTAACTAATTTTCTTATCAATACACGGCCTTTTTCCCCCTCAAATCATTCTTTCAAAAATGTTTCCACAGCTGCTTCTGGATACCCACATAGCAGGGCACTACATTCAGTCCAAACAACATGGCAAATTCAAGTGCCTTTCATTACTGCATATAGACATATAGTGCTGTGCTACAGAATAATAGGAAAAACTTAAGCTTCCATATAGAATATTCGAAATTACAAAAAAAAAGGCTCCATGCTTGCTACTGCTACCTTACCCCACATTTCATAAAGTAACTAATTTTCTTATCAATACACGGTCTTTTTTTCACCTCAAATCATTTTTCCCAATATGCTTCCACACCTGCTTCTGGATACCCACACAGCAGCCCACTACCTTCAGTCCAAACAACATGGCAAATTCAAGGGCTTTTCATTACTGCATATAGACATATAATGGTGTGCTACAGAATAATAGAAAAAAGCCTCCATATAGAATATTCTAAGTTACCAAAAAAAAGACCCCATGCTTGCTACTGCTACCCGTGCAGTGCTTACCCTTCTGTCTATGAAAAACACAGACTCACATTTTCCCCATAATAAAGTGCATTGCAATGCCTGCCAGCAACCAACAAACCAAGCCTCCTCATCTACCTACTAATTTATTTTCACGCATGTTGTAACTCCAAACAGCCTCGCATTGGCACGCTCTCATCACTCATTCTGTACATCGGACATATGGAGATCCTCACGAAAGCATCAGCAATCGCATAAGTTTATTCTATGTTCCTCAAACACTTTTCTGTACATCAGACATAGATCTATGGAGGAGGCAAACATTAAACCGATAGCTCTTCCTCCAAAATCTGAAACTACAGTTTTAAGAATGTGTGTCATTTTCCCTAGCATTTTCCATTAATTATTTGTCTGCCTTCATGTGCAGCCCAATCACTATGTAAATTCTACATTGGTCACACAAGGATGCCACATTAGTTCAGATGCTGCAATTTTGGCTCCCAGCGAACTTTTCATGGTCAACGTATCTCCAGTTTCTTGGATACAATGGTCTCTATATTTTGTATTATGTGCTATAGAAAGACCACTACATCTATAAATTTACAGAGTGCTGACCAGGAACTTTGTACATGAATCCATACCAAACTTATAATACATGTGAATTGTGATTTACCTAACATAAACACCTTTTCTGTCTCTCACTAACCATTTTTCATGATCATACTACCAGTTCGACAACTTCACCCGACCAGTGCATTTCCTTTACGCCAAGGCAAATTGAATTCTTCCCTCCTAGAAACGAAACAGATACGGAACCATCTGTACCTAATTTAGCCAACCTTCTCCTTCCATTGCTTCCATGTTGTGCAACATCTCCGACTCCGGCGCCCCGTGCCAAGCACGGGGGTACCCGCTAGTATAAAAAGATGTACCGTGACCCGAACAGGTACACATGACTCGTACACGTGCACACCATCTGCTCGTCCTTTGTTGTCTGCCTCCTGCTGATCTCATTGCCTTCCCTTGTGCATTCCGCGAGCTGGCGCCGAAGCATTCTATGGCGCGGAGACTCGATGCTAGTGGAGGACGCTTCCGGCGGCAACGTCCTCGTGTCTCCCAGCGGCAACTTATCGTGTGGCTTCTACAAGGTGGCGACGAACGCCTACACGCTGGCCGTCTGGTTCACCCGCTCCGCGGACGCCACCCTGGCGTGGACGGCCAACCGCGACGCCCCCGTCAACGGCAGGGGCTCGCGCACCCAGTTCTGCAGGGACGGGTCGCTGGTGCTACGAGACCTCAACGGCAGCGTGGTGTGGGGCACGAACACCAGCGGCACGCAGGCCGACCGCGTGCAGCTGCTCGACACCGGCAACCTCGTCGTGGCTGACGCCGCGGGGCGCACGCTGTGGCAGAGCTTGGACTGGCCCACCGATAGAGCAGCCCATCACCCGGTACAAGCGCCTGGTGTCGGCCTCCGCCAGGGGCCTGCCCTACTCCGGCTACTACAGCCTCTACTTCGACAGCAACAACATCCTCAACCTCATCTACGACGGGCCGGAGATCAGCAGCAACCATGGGCGGATCTATATACAATGTACTGGGTGCGGGCGCAAACACAAAAATATCAAAAAGCGGTGATTATGATCGAATTTTCACCATATTCGTACCATACGGTAAAATCCCATGCACCCACAAGGTAAGCGCACCATCCTCGTATTTGCTCTAGCTCCGCCCGGATCCCTTCAAGCGGTGGTGGGAGAACAACCGGACGGCCTACAACAGCAGCCGGTACGGCTGCCTCGACAGGCGCGGCGCCTTCTCGGCGAGCGATCACACACAGTTCAACGCCTCCGACATGGGCGAGGAGGGTGTCATGAGGCGGCTGACGCTGGACTACGACGGCAACCTCCGGCTGTACAGCCTCGACGACGCCGACGGGAGCTGACTCGCCACGTGGGCCGCGCTCCCGCGGCAGTGCGACGTGCACGGTGTCTGTGGCCGCTACGGCGTGTGCGCGTACCAGCCGCTGCCGGCGCCGGGGCTGGCGCTGGCGTGCTCGTGCCCGGAGGGGTTCGTGGCCCGCGACGCCAGCGACTGGAGCAAGGGCTGCCGCCGCGAGTTCCACGTCAGGTGTGGCGAACCTGTCTATTTCGCGGAAATGCCCAGCTTCGACTTCAACTACACCCCCGGGGTGTCCATGGAGACGTGCCGGAATATGTGCCTCGATGACTGGAACTGCGAGGCGTTCGGCTACAGGATGGGCGCCGGCGAGTGCTACCCTAAGATCGCCTTGTGGAACAGCCGGGCTCCGGACATCAGCAAGCAGAACATCTTCCTCAAGGTCCCGGCGAGTCTCAAGGTCAAGGGCCTCAACCCGACGGTGCTGGACTTCCATGGCCATGCCTGCACAGTGCAGGAGCGGAACGCCAGCGTCGTCGGCTCCTCCTACTTCCATGTCAGGGGAAACAGGATAAAGTTCGCCTACTTCTACTCATTCCTTGATGTGATCTTCGTCGTGGAGGCCATTTTCATCGTCGTCGGGTGCATGTTCGTATTCCGAGCTGACCCGACCGCTGCCAGAAGACGGGTGCACAACGAAGAAGGGTACGCGCTGCTGTTCAGCCATTTCAGGAGGTTCACCTACGACGAGCTGTCGGACGCCACCGGCAGGTTCTCGGACAGGCTCGGAAGGGGCGCGTCAGGGACCGTGTACAGGGGCGTGCTGGAGGACGGCCGCGGCGTCGAGGTGAAGCGGCTAGACGACCTGTCGCAGGCCGACGAGGTGTTCCGGTCGGAGCTAAGCGTGATCGGGCGGATCAACCACATGAACCTGGTCCGGATGTGGGGATTCTGCTCCGAGCACTCGAACCGGCTCTTGGTCTCCGAGTTCGTGGAGAACGGCTCGCTCGACAAGGCCCTCTTCGTCTCCGACGGCGGCGGCGGCGAGAGTGCGCTGGGGTGGCGTTCGAGGTACAGGCACTACGTGAAAAACGGTCTGTAGCAACGGGACAAATTTTTTGTAGGGCGACTGATGATGAAGCCACCCCTACAAATAGAACAGTAGGGATGGCTGGTGATATGAGCCGCCCCTACAAATGGGTCAGATTTGTAGGGGCGGCTCACTCACCAGCCGCCCCTGGTATTGTTATTTGTAGGGGCGGCCGGTGATTGAGCCGCCCCCACAAATGCCCTACGAACAGTACTGAGTCACCCCAAAATATCTATTGCCCTCCTCTCTCTCTCCGTCTCGACTCTTCCAGTGTTCCCTTTCATCCATCCGCCGCCCCCGTCCTCTCTCTCTCGCAACTACGCTCCGCCCGTGGCCACCTCCTCCCCCGTCGCGACGCCCGTCACGCTCGTGGTTTGCTCCGCTGTTCGTGACCTCGTCAACCATGAGCGAAGAGCGCAGCTCCTTCCCCGTCCGCAACGATGGCGCTCCAGATCTCTGGCCTCTGGATCTCCTCCCCTTGCTCGACGACGGCCCAAATCTGCCCATAGCTGCAGCTCTGAAGGTGGAGCTTCATCTCCTAGGTGAGTGGCTGGCGGACCCTGTCTCCCTCTTCCTAACTCTCCCTCACCCTCACCCTCTCCCTCTCCATCTCCCTCATAGATCGATCCTGGTGGGGCTTCTTCCGCAGAGGCAGCGGCGGTGAATCATGGCCGTCGCCTCGGTGGCCTCCTCCGCGCAATCCGGCGAGGTGGCGCGGTCCGTAACGGGTGTCGCAGCGAGCCGTGTTCTTCATCCACGGCGGTGGCGCGACGAGTCCTGATGCGCGGTGGTGGTGTCGGGGTGAGGACACGTCAGAGGCGCCGCCGTGCCCAAGCATGATGGCAGTGACGACACCGAGCTAAGGTAAAAGGTCCCAAGGCCCAAACTTAGTAGAAATTAGAGTTTCTATTTTGAAACTTGATGTAAAAGGGTGAAAATCATGATAGGGTTTCGGGGATTTGAGGAAAAGTTTCAATTTGGCCGTGATTTGCAAATTCTCCTCGTACATGCTAAGCCGAACCCTAGTGGCTTAATATGCACCGTCTTACATATACTGCTTTGTGATGAAAATGTTTGATAGATAGAATCACATGCCTATATATGCCAAGAGTTGATAGGGGTATAATCTTACTAAAATTTTTATGATATATTTGTTACTGTAGGTTGAAGATCTTTCAAGGATGTTCAGGCTCCTCTCTAGGATTAATGGTGGCATGCCTCCTGTATCTAAAATATTCCAGGAGGTATCTTCTATGCTGTATTGCATTGCACTTTTAAACAAGTTCACTTCTAAACAAGTTCTATTTTCTATGCTGTATCTTCTAAAATATTCCAGGATGTATCACTGAGTGGGTCAAAGAGTTAATTTTGCTTAAGGCCTATCAAAAAATTTGATTTGAGGCTATTGACATCTCGCAGCTGTTCTTTAGTAAATATTTTAATGAAAGAAATAACTAGCAAAGTGTATGCAGATTAATGATACAAGATTTCTCTGATATATCAGTGTACAATTTTATCTATAATACTGTACAAAAATAAAAATGTATACAATTACATTAATTTGGCGTGTCCTTGCAGGCTCGGCAACCTGCGGAGCTGGTTGGTTTTTTATTTTCAAGAGCTGATTAGTAAGTTACAATAAATTGATTACTTACTGCAATTTAACCTTGCATTCTTGATGCTGAGCGGCTAAATATTTGCGGCCACATTTCAAGTTTTAGTCACTAGTAATTCTTGGACATGTACTGCATTATCTGGTTGTAAAGTATTTTCTATATTTTTCCCATTTTATTAGCATGATCCTGAATCATATATATATATATATATATATATATATACATATATATATATGTATACATATATACTATTCTATAGCTGGCCGCAGAATAAGTTATTCTGTGGCCACTTTGAGTTACGATAATTACTATACTAATTTACGAGATTATGGTAACTCCGTCATAAGTGATTTACTATAGCATTATGGTAAGTATCATCTTGAATTATAGTAACCCATGTATCATAAATGTGTATTGTCATTATCGTAAATTGGTACAAACATTATCGTAAAAATCAAGGTGGCTATAGAATAAGTTATTCTATAGCCAACTGCAGAATAGCCTTATATATATATATATATATATATATATATATATATATATATATATATATATATATATATATATATATATATATATATATATATATATATATATATGTTCTGATGTTATCCGTGAAGTATCCTCTAAGCATTTGTTGAGTATGTGAGTAACGAATTACATCACAGTTCTAAGCAATGTAGCATGCCCTTTTAGTCACTTCTCTATTTGACTGTCATTAGTTTTGCAACACATGTATGTTATGATATACTCTTCTCATAAATGTTGGCTTTACTGCTTCAAGAACTCTATTTTCACCTTGTGCTTTAATCTTGTGCAATATGAGATCATAAACTAGGCCTTAGAATTAAGCCATGAAACACATATTTGGTCCCCCCCAAACACACATGCTCCCGGTAGTGGTGTCCGGTTTTTATTGCCGGGGATCCCGGGATGGGGCCCTCCTTGGCTATGTAGCTCAACAGCAGATGGGAATGGGAAACAATGAAATGGCATGGTATGTTCATTATGTCTTGCTGAAATGATCTAGGATGCCGTCTATAGGGGGGTGAATAGGCGTTTCTGAAAATTAACACCTTTAAATACGGAAACGATTAGTAAAGGTGGAAACTCCCAATAAGACTAATACCACCCCTCACAAGTTAGCCACCTATTATATAAGGTATAAAAGAATGTATCTAGAAGCTACAACCCTGCAACACAAAGTTAGAACTGCGAATAAATATTTTCAGCACAGAGCTCTAATACCGGACGTGTCCGGTATGCACGGTTTCTGCAGAATAGCCCCGAACTTGCTGCTTTCGATTTCTATCTTCAAACCAAACTGCAGGTACCTACTAGAGATATAAATATACACAGAGAACCTGCACAAGAGCTGGAGCAACACAAATATCAAATGAAATACGAATTGAGACACGATATTTGTTTTACCAAAGTTCGGACTCGTTCGAGTCCTACTCTCCGTTGAGGGGGCTGCGGGCGACCCAACGAAGGTCAGGCCTAGAGGGTACCACGAAGGTCACTCTAGCCGGAGTCTTTTCCAACTCCTTTTCCTCCTTCCACTAATTGATTCCGAGGCGGCGGAATCGACCGTTACAAACTTTCCGAGGCACACCATAATCTCTCGGGTGCTCTCCGACGACGCCTAACCGTGTAGGACCAAAGAGTCCAAGAGTAACAAATGCAAATCACGAGATAGACAATATGTACAAGTGCTCAAGTGGTTGGATTGCTCTCTTTTTGAATTTCACTCAACCAACAATTTAATTTGGCAAATTTGATCAAACACTCACTAAGAGAGGGTTGGGAGAGTTGGCAAGGCTAAAATACGTGTGTGTATCAGCAGAATCAGCAGCCTCCAAAGGTGGAGGCTTAGAGGTATTTATAACCCTCCTTGAAAAACTAGCCGTTTTATAGCCGTTGCAATACCGGACACGTCCGGTATGATTTACACTGCACCAACGGTAACTAAGTTACAGAGACAATGTGAGGCATCGGAACTCCCGATGAATGCCTGAACTCCCGACCGTCGGAACTCCCGACTCACGTCGGAACTCCCGACCCTCAGCAAATTTGAAAACCATGTAATTGAGTTAAAGTATGTGAGGTGTCAGAACTCCCGACTCACGTCTGAACTCCCAACCCTCAAGGCTTTTGAAAACTAGCCGTTGGCCTCTGGTCGTGCATATCGGACACGTCCGGTATGACCAGGACAATGAACCCTCCAAGTCAGTTAAAGTGCGAGACGTCGGAACTCCCGACCCTTGCCGGAACTCCCGACCATCGGAACTCCTGACTTATGTCGGAACTCCCGATGAACCAACCTGAGAACAACAATTTTACCACTGCTGGGCAAATACCGGACACGTCCGGTATTACCAGACCAGCAAAAATAAAGTTAGCTCTTTTGTCGCTCAAATACTCAAAACTCACATGGGTTGGCTTGAGCACTTATGAAATATTATCTATCAACATGATGCATCTCTCTTAATAGTACGGCATTCTATTAACTCAAAATTTAAATGTATAACGGATTTAAACCTTTTGAGTTGTTCTCTTTCAACTGAAGCCGTGTATTCTAAACTTCATCAAGTGAGGGTGCTAACATGTCAACTTTGATCTTTTTCACTTGAGCATAGCCATCTTGAGCACGTGACTTGATTCCATTCATCAAATTTGAATAATCCCAAATGTATCAAGTCACTTCCATCAAACACTCCAATAATGATTTGATCATTCACATCAACATGGCCATCATAGCTTGATTAGTACCTCAACTAAATGCAAGTACTTCCTTCTTCACCCTAGCTAGGTTCTTCGGCCGCCAAGCCATCGCTTGTCCTTCACCCTTGCTTAGTACCTCAAAGCCTAAGCCATCAAGTCACATCTTGTGTTGAATCATCCATTCATGTATTGTTATCTTTTTCATTTCAATTTAGCAAGCTTTAAATATAAGACCATTCCATATGCAATCCCTTATGTCTCATTAATTAATTCTCACAAGCTTGCTTTCACATAGTACATGGAAATCCCATAATAAACAAGCCTTTGCATGAATTCCATTTGCATTGTTATCTTGTGCTTTAACTAGATTGTTTATACAATAACATATCATTTTGGCTTTCATTAAGTACCTATGAGATAACCTATTACCTATCCACACTTAGCAAACGGGTTAGACCTTTAATCACGTTGTCATTCAATCATCCAAAACCCACTAAAGGGCTAGATGCACTTTTAATCTCCCCCTTTTTGGTGATTGATGACAACTTGATTAAAGCTTACAAAAGAATATAAACATTTAAGCTTTTGGGTTCAATGATTTATGAGAGGCTTCCCCTTAATATGTGCTTATAATTAGAATTCATAAAATGACCTCAAATGTCTATTGCACATACTAAAACATATAGGAGACTCCCCCTAAATCATTGCATCCGTGGGGTGCATGTTTGTGTGACAAAGTAAAATCATGATGCATATGACAAGATATATCACACAAGAATAAATATGAAGACATCACATCAATTATTTTCACTTTAGCATGCATAGACCTTATGAAAACAAATACAACACATGTATGTCACACATAGCACTCATTACACATTTTCTTAAGTCCAGAAACCACTGATATATACATAAAGATCATGTCTCAATAGATACATAGATAAACCATAAATATGAGTCTCATCTCTCACATAATACAATGCAATATCAAACTCAAGATACATCAATGAAGCTCAAGAACAAAAAACTACAGCCTGCAGTACATACTTCAGGTACAAAGATAAGGCAAATGAAACAAATATCCAGAAGCCTGAAGCTTTAATCAGTCTCTCTCCCCCTTTGTCATCTATCACCACAAAGGTCCAACAATGACAAACTAAGGATAAAAGGGGATGCAAGCTGTATCTAATCTTTGGCATCACACATCATCATCATCGTCTCTCCCAGCATCTTCGTCATCTAAATGTGTAACACTAGCTGGACGAGAACCACCTACGCCGGATGGGTCATAGCCACTAGACCCGTAGTAGCTACCACCAGTGAGGTCACTCCACCAGTCTGAAGCATAGACATCTGCAGAACTAGGATGTGGCTGAGAGTGAGTAGGCACATGAGCCTGAAGTGGTAGAGTGTCAGGGTGCTGTGGTGCCTGCTGCTGCTGCTGTCACTGAAGGAACTCAGCATACTCTCTATCATATCTGGCCTACAGCTGCTCCTCAGTCTCAGGCTCACTAGCTGCCTCATCTAATAGTGGAGACCTAGGAGGAACAAGCTCAAGTCTAGAAGCAATCTGCTTCAAAGTCCGAGTATCCTTCCTCCTAGCCTCCCTCTCCTTCTGCTGCCTAGTCTGGATGTCTCTGCACATCCCAAATATGGAGCTAAAAAGCCTACGGATAGGCGAGGGAGGACTGCCATGGCGTGAAGAGGAACGTGGAGGTGCACGTGGTGAAGGTGAAGCTCCAGCTACCGCACCACTCTCAGGTGCATCTGCATCAGCTGTACCTGCTGCTCCTCCTGGACCAGCTAGAGGTAACCCTGCCTCAGGCAAGTCAGCAACAATCTTTAGGGCCTTGTGAATCTTGTCATACTCGAAAGTGTGCCCTATGACCTACTCAATCATATACATGATATACGGAGCAAATCCACAACCCTTGAGGGGCCTCTCTCCCACACTCCTGATCTCAGACCAAATGAAGTCAAACACGCTGAAAGGCCGAGCATTAGGTGCCATCCTATGGAGCAAGTTCCTAGAATAATCTGCAATGTTGCCCTTGTCTCCACCCTTGTAGTCAATAGTCTTCCTGAACATCCTGTCCAGGTATCTGTAAGTGGGGTGAAGACCTAGAACCTTGCCCACTGATCCTCTCTCACCTCCTGGTGGGTACATGTAAGCGAGCTGCTCAGGAGGTAACACCTGCTCAGTGTGAATCATGTCTCTCTGGAGGTCATCCTCTGAGAAGCCAAGCTGAGCGGCAAACACATCATAATCTACATTGTACCACTAGCCC